TTTATTTTTATTATAAATTATAATACTGTTATTATAAATAATGGTAATAAAACAATATCATTACAGATACAAGAAAAACCAAAAATTAAATCATAAACCAGTGACCAGACTAAATTAAGCCGTTTTATTTTTGGTATAAAGTTTCCTTGTCAGAGAAAAATAAACAAATAAACAGGTTTTTGGAGTATATGTTGGTTTATTTTCAAAAACCAGGGACCAAGTATTAATAGACACACTATTTTTCAAATAAAATTGAAAAAAACTATAAAATATGAAACTCTTAATTAATCATTTGAAGCTGTCTTATTTGTTAATGCCCAGCCGAGCCAAAGTAAAGTTTGTTCTTTATATTGATTTATCTTCCGTTGTTTAATACGTTTAATGATCATCCATCATTTACTGAATGTCTAACATTCCAATAATTTATTTATTCTTTACTTTATTTTCATTTATTGCGTGAGCCACTTTTAATACTGAACGAAAAGTGACTCATTGAATCAATCGAGTGAATAGAGAAGGCTACAATGACTTCTTTGTAAACTTGAATAAATGGGTTAATTGAATGGTTGTGTTGAAGTTAAACAAGGTTGAACAAAAGAATAATATTTTATAATTAAATAATAATGAATAATAATAAACTTAATAATCTAACTCACATCAAGCTGTTGTTTATTCATACTTTATACAACACGTTCATTTTTTTCATCCCGAAAAATAACCGTTTTTAAGACCAAATAATAAGAAAATTACACAATTATTTATATTTTTGCCCGTATTATTGTATAAAATCCGCTTAATATTCAATAGCTAAAATTAGTTTGATCTCCGGTTTTTCCTCTATCTGTATATATAAAATAAACAATGTTTTTTGTAAAATATCAAATAAAATAATAAAGTCAGTCTGGAATAATTAAAAAAAATCTGAAAAATAGGATAAAAAAATATGGAAAAGATGGGTGTACAACGTTTACGGACTGACTCTATTTGGGAATATTTTTAACCTCGTTTCAGGAACAACCTGATTCCCAAACTTAAAATTGGTATGTTCCCGAACCAATAAGTTCCCGAACTTCAAAAAAATATTCCCAAACTTTTGATTCCGGAACATGACGGTTTTCGAACCGATTCCTTGATCATCAGTATTATATTAAAAATTTATTAATAAGCAAACTAAAAAAATAACAACTTTATTCTAATATTAAAATAGATAAATGTATAATAATATCTTTGTAAGTGTTTTATCCATTTGTATCACTATTCAACAAAAAATCAATTCTTATATTATATTAAATATAAGAATGTAAGTTTTAATTATGTGTAAAAAAATGTTCATTGCAATAATAATTATTTTTGTTTTAATTTATGGTCAGTGTTATTATATGTATTTACAGTACAAAAATAACATGTTATATCTTTGTTGTTTATTTTAATGAGAATTTAGTTATTTACAAAGAAACATTTTAATCCTTCGAGGGCTGAAAAATTTTTATTTTTTATTTTTTTAAAATAATTTCAAAAAATAATTTCACTTTTCCAAAAAAATGAAAATAATGGCGACTTTTCATGAACAATTTAGAATGATTTTTGACTTATTTGATAAAATAGTTCAACTCAAATTCAAACTTTTGAATTATTTATAAAACATTTCATCATTCATAAACTCAAATTAATTGGTTTTTGTTAAAGATTTGTTTGTCAATCAATAAAATATATAATTTAACAAATTAATATTAGTAATATAAATAATACGAAAATAAACTGTTTTCATAAACAAATAAAAATGTTAATAAAACTTGATTAAATAATATTTTCAGATATCCAAGTCGCCAAAAAACAGAATGAAAAAACACTTAAAAATGTGCAAGATTGTAAGTTTGATATAACCAATAAGATTGGTTCAAACCAAAATAAAATAACAACATAACAAAATTATTATTGTTGAAATATAAAAATGGATTCCACTCAAACTAAAAATACTCAGAGAACCAAATAACAAAAAAATATTTTTTAAAACTTCACAATTTTTTTTCTGAATTTACACATTTTTGAATTAATTATATAAAATCATCATTAACCTTAACAGATCGTGTTATCAATTTTCATAACAAAGTTATCAACACAATTAAACGTTCAAATAAACAATAAATACAACAGTGTTGATACAAAGGTAATTTTCAAATTAAATCTCACTTAAATAATCGTTGTTTATTACATTGAATTTATTGATTGTAAATAATAACTTTTGTGAAATAATTATGTTATTTATTAAAACAAAAAGAAACGATCATCATCGATTTCATTGTGAAACTACTTCGATGTGCACAATTTTTATTCAACAATTTTTTGTTGATAATTACATGTAAGAGAGTTGTTATATATAAT